TAGAACTTTTGAGGAATTACTGTTTTAGTCTGTTGGTTTCCAAACATGGCAGTGTATCAATATTACTGTGGTTATTGCGGTTACTGGCACAGTGATTAAGAGCTTGGCTGCTAACCAACAGGTTGGCAGTTCGAATCACCAGCCGCTCCTTGGAAACCCTATGGGGCAGTTCTACTCTGTCCTATAGGATCGCTATGAGTCAGCATCGACTCGACAGCAACGGACTCTTAAAGACATGTATTCCTGGCTCCCACTCCCAGATATTCTGATTCAGCAAGTGTGGAGTGGGACCCAGGAGTCAGTACTTTTACTTAACTCTCTAGGTGATTCTAATGTGCAACCAGGTTAGGGAACCACTGCTCTGCTCCACCCCACATATGAGCAATCAAGGGTATAAGTAACTAGAGTGATTTTGTTGTGGGCTCATTTCTGTTGGGGACAGAAAGAAAGCACATTCTCTCACTTGCAGTATAAACCAGAAACCTCCACTGGGATTTCCCCAAAGCCTACAGTCAGACATGTAAAATAATTTAAAGGGCTACATAGACCACACCTCATTTACTTAGTGTCCTGAGCATTAGCAAAGTTGAATGAGTGATAGTACTCTACACAAAGTACACAAAGTAGATGCTCTCAAAAGATGTGTTGCTGTTGATGATGTTTGTTGACCAAATCTTATTAAGAGGCAATTTATAGAGAAAACATCATTCATCTCAAGACCCTAACCTGACTTCCACTGTGTCACTCTCAACTTTGCCTCATCCTTTACATCCTTCCCTTCCTTCTCATCAATCTCAAAATTTTCTGTCTTCACCCAGTCTAGTGGAGTGAAATTCAATAAATGGTAGTTATAATTATTAATATATTTTCCACTTGTAGAATGTAAACTCCATGAGGATAAGAACCATAGTATATCCCCAGTGCCTAGCAACACAATAGTTGCTCAACAATTATTTGTGAAATGAATGACTGAATGGTATGGCAAAGGCAAGAGGCATGCCTATCCAGTTTAAGACTAGCCCTGCTATCTGCTTTGTTGAACTCATTCTCTCCTGCCCTTCCTGGAGATTCAGGAAAGGTGTAGAATCTCAATGGGAGGATAGTTAAGAGAATGGATGGTCAGGGCTGAAAGATCAGTAGGTGCCCGTTAGTCATGGTATGGTGGGTAATCCAGTGTGGCTGGAGTCTGGTATGAATGGGGGAAAGGAATGGGAGAAAATTACAGAAAGTGGTGCTAGACAGGTTGAATATGAACACCTCAAAAACCAGCACCAGGTCTTTTATTTTTGTGTCCTTGGTATTTAGTACAGAGCCTGGCACAAAGAGTCTCTGAGTAAATGTTTGCTGAATTAATGAATGAATGAATTAGGCCAATCCCAAACCATAAAGGGCCTTTTATGCTTGGCTGAAGAATTTAAACTTAAGAGTCAAAGGTAGAGTCATTGAAGGTTTTTAAAGCAGAGGAGTGCCATGATTAAAATCATATACTAAAGCTGTAATTTATAGGATGGTTTGGAGGGGGAAGAGACAGGAAGCCACAGGCACCTTAGACCTGCTTCTGCTCCTAACTCCCAATCTTCATTAACACTATTACCATCCTTTTTCTCACTCAAGCAAAAAATGTCAGCATCATCTTTGCTTCTTCATTTTCCCTCACTACCGGAATCTGTTCTGTCAACGCTACCATAACAATGGTTCTTGAAGCCATCCCTCTGTTCCCCACAATCAGTGCCTTATTTCAGATCATCAACATTTTTACCTGGTCCATTGCAAAGGCCCCCAAACTGGTTTCCTTAACTCTTCTCTTTCTAAGCCATCCTCCATCTTGTCACCAGTTTTCTTTCTAAAATGCAGATCTGGTGTTACTCTCCTACTCAGAAATCTTCAGTGGCTCCTGTGTATATCCAAAATAAGGCCTATACAACTCATCATGAGATTTAATAACTCTGTGAAGTAGGTATTAACCTCATTTTGCTTGTAAAGAAACAGGCTCAGAAAGGGAAAACGACTTGCATGAAATCACACAAGTATACAATGGTAGAACCAAGATTAGAACCTAGGTCTCCTGATACCAGTGTTCTAGCCATTATAAAGTACTTCTAAAGAGGAAAGAAATGGTAGGTACTGTATGTGTTGTTAGAATGGTGGGATGGAGGTTACATAATCCTGTCTCCTGGATGGGGCATATACTTTGAAGCATATACAAACGAGCAAAAAATCCTAGTTCTACCTCTTATTGGCTTTGTAGACTTAAACAACTGACTTAATCTCTTGGAGCCTCTGTTTCCTCATTTATAAAATGGGGACAAATCATCCCAACCTTATAGGGTTGCTATGAAGATTATATGAGATCATGTATGTAAAAGGCCTAGGTTCACAGGTGATTCTCAATAAGTGTCATCACCTACTCTCATCCCCACTCCAGTGAACTGAAAACCTATTTAAACAATGAGAATAACAGAATTTAGATAGTAGGGGTCTGAAATGGGGAGCAAGACTCCAGGGTCTATTACTAGCTCTGGGTTTGGAAATAACTCTTTTCAGGATCTCAATCAAGTTCTCTGCAAATGGAAACCAAAGCCAGTGTTCCCCTGGCACAGTAGTTGGTCATGTGTATGGTGAGACCTCTGACTATAAAAGCGGATCTTAAGCCCCAGTGCCCATAATGTCCACGGTTAGCCACTCCTAGTTGCTGATGTATTGTGCATTCTTATTAAAATGCAAATGTTTCCTGGGAGAGGCAGCATACATATTAACCTTCTGGCCTGATTAGCTTTCACTTCGCTCTTTCTATGAGCAGAGTCCTTCTATGCCTCTGTGCTTTGAGCTAAGGGCACGCTCTGGGCAGCCATCCTCCCAACGCCAGCCTGTTAAAATTCGACTCAGTATTCAAGGCCCGTCTTGACCACTACCTCCTCAGAAGCCTACTGTAATAGCTCAGCTGGATCTTGCCTTCCGTCTTCTGCCCCCCTCCCAGGAGCCTTAGATTCATGTGGTGGAGCGCAGGGAGCATGAGGCTTTGCTGTATGGAGACCTGCTTTGAATTCCAGCTTGTCCCTGACTTGCCCCATGACCTTATGCAAATAAAAGCCTTGACCTCGTTGAGCCTCAGGTTTTTGTGACTGCAAAAAGTAGGTGATACTAATACTTACCTCAGGGCAATAAAGGACATGCTCCACCCGCTCAGGCAACATCCACTCTGCTGACTGGCAGGACCCTCGTGATTTGTAAATTTGTCTGATTCCTCTCATGGCACCGCAAGCACCTCACCGGGAAGCTTCTATCCTCCCGCCCAGCTCAGCTCTCCTTCAGGTGCTTAATGACTGTGTTCCTTGGCATCCGGTGAAGCCAGGCAGCTTTGTGTTCCACTTCCACTGGCGACTCAGTCTTTTTACCTAACAGGAGGGTTAATGAGATGCTGGGGAGAACGGGCTTGGAGCTTTCCCGCCCGCTGCTCTTGAGAAGCCCAGTGCTTGGTAACCACAGGGCACCCTCACGATTAGTGCAGTAGACTCCCTGGCCCTTAGGGGAGGCAGAGCTTCCCAGGATAGCTCGGCTGGCCCCAAGGACTAAGGCTGGGCACAGTCACCCACTTCTGCTGGGAACCCTGCCGCCCACAGGGCAG